AAAAAAAAAAAAAAAAAAAAAAAAAGTAAAAATCACCAGTAAGTAAAGGGATTTAATAACGTTTTATTGACGATTTTCATTATTATTATTATTATTATTAATATTCATTATTATTATTAACTAGCGATAGTCTTGATAGGTTTGTTCGGGTTGCTTGAAATCCTCAAAAAGCATTTTACAGTTAAAAAGAGATAAATATATTTAGATGTTGAAAAGAGGGAAAACGAAGATGCTAAGTGCAAAAAGTGCAAGCAACGAGAACGGACCGAATAATGAAGTATTCTTTTAGATCTAAAATTCTGATTGAATGATCTAAAAGAATACACCAATAACAGTGAGTACTTAACTGTTGAGTCCGCTGAATGCGCCCATTAGCCCGGATATATAATAAATTTTTAAGTCTTAAGCCATAAGAAATGAACGAATCATAGTCGATTATTCTTCTCGCATTCAATTGCAATTGGTCAATTCCGGTCAAGTTCGAACCTACAATAAATGTTTTAGTCCCGATTGCACTAACGTTACTTTGATTTTTAGCAGACTTCTCTCTCTGTCTCTCTTTCGCTTTAAAACGAGACGGAAAGAGTTTTAAGTCTTGCTTAAAGAGTCAAAGTAACGTTGGTGCAACTGGGCCTTAAGCCTTAAGGAATCGACAAATCACAATCAATTATTCTCCTCGCATTCGACTGCAATTGGTCAATTTCTTATGGTTTATAGAGGCTGCAGTCCACTATAATTGACACTCATTTCATTCTTGTTGTTTATTAAATGTTAAAAAAGAACAAATAATATTCGCAAGCTTTGCAAGTTCCAAAACGCTCAATGGACATTTGCTTACATTAAATAAAAATTTATTCAATTTGTTAACTTAATTTAAGTATCTTTTTTTTTTACTCAATTGGTATTATTTAAATAAATATTTATTAAAATTTTACAAATTTTTTTTCAGTATAAAAATTAAAAAAAATTGAAATTAAAGTAACTACACATTGATGAAGACGAGCATAAATAGAGAAAGCTTGTCAAATAGTTGAAATTATCTAGCAGTCCCTTACGGCGACGGTCCTGGAAATCGGGTAGCTGATTCGACCAGCGTCGTAAAACGAGAGACGGAAGTGACGCTCATGTTCGTTACGTTTACATTTGTTCCCGACGTCGCGTTGTGCGGAGCCATTACCCTCGTCTGCGCTAAGCATCGTGCCATATTCCCACTCGCGCCCTGAAATTGACCGCGTTCTCGTAGTTTTAAGTGAAATATTATGAGAGTGAAGACCGAAATGGACGACGACGAAAAGGGGTAAGTAGATTATTCGGGTGGTCCGGTATCGTGGACAACATATCGCGCCCCCCTCGCCGTCCTTCACGCTCCCATGCCTCCCATATTCGGCGGGGCCATCATCGTTCCCGTTGTTGCTGCCGCTCGCGATTTGCGCATCGCAATCGTGAGAAATGATTTTCCTTTCTCGAGCTTTTCTGCGTTTTGTCGTCGTTCTGTCCTCGCATTCTCGAATTCCATCCCTTGACGACGTGGAACGCTGTTGTAGACAGTGGACGATACTTCGATGCGCTAGCGGTTAATTCTCCGAGTTTTTCCTTTTTGGCCATAATGACGACGACGAGACGCGCGACTCCTCGCTCTGCCGCGAAGTTCGCCGGTTGACTCCCCGCGTAATTCGTGTCGTCTGGCTAACTTCGAATCTCAGAAAATCTGTAAAAATTTAGGATTCCCGCTCCCTCCCTCACATCTTTGATCACGTCCCCCATACACCGCTCGCGCATTCTTTTATGGCAATGCACGAGAGCAGTGCGCGAAAGCGTTTCGCGTTCTTAAGCTGGTTTCTCTCTCTATTTTTACGCTCCAATTCTCGACCGGACCCGCTCCGCTCGTCTGGAGGATCCCCTGGCCGCTGATACCTTGAGCTTTCGCGCCGGTCGAAAGCACGCGGGGTAACGAGAGCACTCGTTGAGTCGTTGCGTGGATACCCACGATAAGACGGAATGGCGTATTTGAGTTTTTAAAACGATGACTGAGGGGAATGGCGTTGTTGGATATATTATCAATTGATTTCGATATTTCTGAATATATCGCCGGCTGCCGGCATATTTATGCTTCATATAATTCAGCAAGTTTTATCTTTTTGGAATATAACCACTCCTCTTTTTCTTCGAATCCGATCTCAACGTGTCTCTCTTGAACTAGTTATTTTAGAATACAATATAAAAAAAATTATGCAATATATAAAATTATGCTTATTATTCTTGAATATTTAAACAAAAGTATCAGGTTTTTTATCATTGAATAATTATAATTTACAAAAAATATGATTGTCAATTATATCCCCTTTTTGGGGTATTTGTATGATAGGCTTGAAACATTTTTACTTTTATAATAAATAAATCTTTGCATTTATAGAATATATAATTATCTTGTTTATTATGCAATATTAATTAAAATATAAAAATTATTTAATATATTTGAAAATTGAGAAAATATATATTAGTGTACATTTATTACATGTATTATTAATTACAAGTTAATAACATTTTTGGAAACTTTGAAACAGTTTTGCGATTTCTTTATCTAAAAATATTTTTCTTTATATATTATTACTGCAAAGAATAAAAATGAATCGAAGAACTAGTGTGACTCATGCTTTAAGAATATCATCAGGTAGTTTTCCGGTAAAGATAAGCATTCAAGTAGATTTAAGATGACCACCACAGTGACATACGTTATTTATTTATTATGAAAATCATATAAATATATCAAATAAATTTGCATATATTAATGACACTGAAATGATGTTTTACATTTTTCACATTTTGTTACAGAAAATTGTTCGTTGGTGGGTTATCATGGGAGACAACCCAAGAAAATCTCCAACGTTATTTTGGCCGTTATGGTGAGGTTATCGATTGCGTTGTTATGAAAAATAGCGAATCTGGACGTAGTCGTGGGTTTGGATTTGTAACATTTAGCGATCCTGCTAATGTTTCTTTGGTTCTTCAGAATGGTCCTCATCAACTTGACGGACGTACAGTATGTATTTTAATATTATTTATTATAAATAACTTTCTGCAACTTTTCTAAATAAGATTACAGAATCTTGTTTAGAAAATTTGCAAAAAGTCATATTTATTGATGCATATGTTTATGATTTCAAAAACACAGTCTTGTGTACTACAATATTTTGTATCCTATCTAAAATTTTTTATGATTTATGATTTTTTATTATGAATTGACTACTTTTATATGGAGCTACATTTTACTCTTATATTTAATGACGTTTTATTTTTATAAAATTAAGAATTGAAACATTACATAATGATCTTGTATATATGCATAAAAGTTACAGGAAGCATATCTTGTTAATGTTTTTTGCATTACAGATTGATCCAAAACCATGTAATCCACGTACTCTTCAAAAGCCAAAGCGCAGTGGTGGCTTTCCGAAAGTCTTTCTTGGTGGCTTGCCAAGTAATGTTACGGAGACTGATTTAAGATCTTATTTTACTCGCTTTGGTAAAGTCATGGAAGTGGTCATAATGTATGATCAGGAAAAGAAAAAATCAAGAGGTGAGTTGATTTTTACATTATATACTCATAAATTGATGCATTGTGTTTGATGGTTTTCATGGCGTTTTTATTAGCGTTGCATATTATTATTTCTTTTTTTTGTAAGAAAAAAATTATATGTTTTGCTAATTTAAAAAGAATATTTTTAATTTATATATGTTATAAACTTAAAAAAAGTTGTGGAAACTGTTGAATTGTGTATCGAAATGAGAGAGTAAATTATATTTTTATTACGATAATAATTAGTCAGAATTTTTGAAAAATATTTTTTTATTATATTGTAATAAACGGAAATAAATGAAAAAGATGAAATGTCTGGTATTGAAAGTGATTTTGTAAGAACAAATGTTTTTTGGATCAAAAATTCTGATGACTACATTGCACTCCATCTTATGTACAGTAAAATTTGGTATAAGATTAATATGAGAATTAATTTGTATATTCTTAATCTAGCGCAGTTTATATTAATTGTTATAAGATTTTAAAGTTATATTTAAATTTATCCAATATTGCGCAATTATTACATATATTCTGATTTACCTCGTGTAATATATTTTTCCTTTTTCGTTATTACGTTATACATATATTGCGGTATTTTACATTAAATTAAATACAGTTTATAAATAATGCGTTTTTGGCTAAGTTTTATTAAGTATAAGATTCTGTCAAATTATGCTACTGTACATACATAGCTTAAGTTTGCTATGTAATTAAGAAGAAATCTTACAAGTTCCAATTTTTTATTAGATATTATGTATTAGAAATCTTATCGAATAATTCATTTATGTAATTTTTTATCCATAATTATGTATTTTTTGTTTATAATTATAATCTTATTTATATTAAACTTATATAAAAATGATTTTGTAAAACGGATAATAACGTATATTAAAAAATTGTTAGTCATAATAATATTGAACTAAGTAACAATTGAATATTTAGAAACTATTGGCTAAGCATCATTGCTATGGTTACAAATAAAGTTGTGACTAAAATAACTTAAAATGCGTTTCATTTGACGCTCATAATGCTCGCGATCATTATTTGTCTTTGTTTAACAAACTTTGTTTAATAAACAGTAAGAATGAAATGATTCTATGAGCATTGCAAACTTTAAGTGGAACGCAGCCTTAGTAAATCCAATTAGGTACAAGCATTTCTCGATTATTTTGGAATATTTTTCTGTAAAGACTGATAGGCTATGAAAACTGTTGGTCGCTACGTTTAAGAAGCTATATAATAATGCTTGTTTTCTCTAATGTAGATTAACTTTAATCTCAGTTTAACTTGTTCTTTTTCGAACTAGAAAAAGGTGAAGAGTAAATTGAACCGAGATTGAAGTTAATTTATCTTGGTAGAAACGGACATAAGACTTGTACGCCTTCTTTTACATTAAAACGAAATATCCTACTTCTGAAGAAACTTATAAAATCAGCCATCATTAATGTTGTAAAAAAAAAAGCAAGACAAGTTTTTCAAAATTTTTTAAAAATCTGATAACACGGAAATATTTATTTATTATTAATGTGAAATATTTATTGTTTAAGGGAGGATTCTCCTGCTGTTTTAAGACAATTTTTAAGAATTTAAAAAATTACTGGACTAATTGACTTAAAATTTATATAGTCTATTTATCTATTTAAAAATACAATTTTTTAATTAAATTTATAAGCGATCCAATTTGCAATTATTAAACAAAAGATAGCCAACCATTCGAGGGCGCTATGTCGATACGATTCCAGATCTCATTGCTTTGAAATAAAAATATGAAAAAGTTTGTTTAATATAGGTGCAGTTTTCGCTCAAAACAAAATAAAATCAACAAAGTCACATTTTGAAAAATATCAACTTTACAAAAAAGGTATTAAAAGTCAAAATTATTTTTAACTAAAGAAAAAATAGAAAAAATAAACATTCACAACTTTGTCCAAAGTAGGGGCGAAAACTACATATATAGGTACTGTATATCGTGTTAAAATTTCAAGTCATGCGGTTAAGTTGAGAAAAGTAGGTTAAGTTGAGAAAAATAAATTTGAAAAAATTTTAAAGTTTTATATGTACTTTTTATATAGACATTAACAGATCATAGGTAGTAATGGCAATAGGTAGTATGGTTGTTCTGACCATGTAATTCAATAACAATATTTCGAATCACGTGCCTTTTATATCGCTTCTACTCCATTATTTGTTTGTAATCCTTCTGTCCCTTCTAAAACTTTACAGAAATATTCCTAAATATACATTTTTTGAAAAAACCAAAAACTAATAGAACAATTTTTTTAAAGAGATTCCCTGCCTTAATATTTATCCTATGTGTATCATAATGCATCGTAATCTCTTTACTGCATATTATATTATAAAATAAAATTTATACAGTTTATAAGAAATACAGATAGGGGCGTGTACTATAAATCTAAGAAGAAAATTTTAAGGTTTAATATTATTACTATTAAAATTGTTACAATTCGCGATTGTTTATTAACTTAAACTTTTAGATACAGTCCGTTCAATTTAAATATAATATTTATATTATACATATATTAATCTAGATTATATATAGAGAGATTAATAATTACAATCAGTTGTGTAATAGTATTGGCATTTAATGACTACTCCTGACCAGTCACCACAGCCATATTGAATGGTAATTGTGATGTCAGAAGAAGCGAGAATGACATGTTAATTTTTATTACGTGCCATTTATAAATAAAGACAATTTGGAATAAAACAAAATGATGAGATTACTTTAAAACATTTAAATGGACGAAAATGGACGAAAACATACTATGCTTATCCCCCCTTATAATCAGTAAATAATCATAGAAAGTAATAAAAGGCGTGTAAGTGAAAATAAGCTTGCGCATTGCATGCGCATTGAATAAAAGCACATGTGCTTTTTTACAATTTACTGACTGTCAGGGTTGCGTTCTAAAATTCAACTCTGTCAACTCGAGTATCATTTTATGGTCACCAAATGTTGAATAAAGATAAAGAATACTCGGAGTCAATTTTTGGAACGCACCTCAGGGAGGATAAGCACAGTTTTCATCTATTTTTACAAATGTTTTAAAGTAATCTCATAATTTTGTTTTTTCCAAATTGTCTTTATTTATAAATGGCACGTAATAAACATTAACGTGTCATTTTTCGCTTCTGACGTCACAAGTACGATTCAATATGGCTGTGATGATTATTCAGAGGAGCCTTAATCAATATAGATAAGAAATAAATAATAATTATTTATGATAAATAAATATTCACTAATTTTTGATCTTACAAATTTAATTTTATAATAAACAAAGTTACTATGAATAATTTTTAAACCGAATTGTAAACATAATAAATAAAGTGCTGATTTTTATACCTAATGCAATATTGTAATTTTTTGTACTTTTCGTAATATTAAAATATTTTGCATTCGAAGTATTTTATAAAAAGTCACAACAGCTTAAAGCGGTGTGTACAATAAAGTAATAAGCTTTAAGTCGTAAGAAATTGACTAATTGTAGTTTATTTTCTTCACATTTGACCGTGATTGATCAATTTTTTATGTCTTAAGACTTATTATTTTAATGTAAACATCATTTAATGTTATATTGCGATAAATTTATTGCAACATGAGAGATGTGCTCAGCCAATAGTCATGTAGCACTATAATCTCTCTTTCTTAGTCCCTACTGCCTGCCTCTTAGTATATGGTCTTTTTTGAGGAAATGCCAGTACATTAAATAAATTAGTATCGTTCTAATGGACTTTGAATTATCGATTTTGATTTATTAAATCTTATATCATAAAAATGGCCATGAATTACCATGAATTTACATTGCGCAATATAAAAAGCGATTATTTTATTAATTTACTAATGTAAATGACAAAATCTATTTAATAAGTATTATAAGATTGGATGTTGTAAGTTGCTTTTTGGGGTTTTGGACGTGTGCATATTTTATGCATTGTATTGTAAAAACTGCTTTCTCGTATTGTTATGGCGAGCATTTTTTGATTGTACTCTCTCACGTTTGGACGATAGGATTCGGCTTTCTCAGCTTTGAGGATGAAGAAGCGGTGGATCGTTGTGTTGCAGAACATTTTGTCAACCTGAATGGAAAGCAGGTATAACACGTCAATACACGTCAATCACCATATCATTGTGTGACCTTATGCAAAAGATAGAAAATAAGTATATGTTAATATTGTTCTCTCTTGAGGCTATTAAGATTATATAGAAATTTTAGTCACATAAATTATTTATTAATACAAACGTTAGTATACATATATATACTAATATATACGTATATTAGTCTATACGTAGAATTGGGGATAGAATTAAATTAATTTTATTAGAATTAAATTAATTTGAATAGTATTAAGTGTAATAAATATTTTTAAATATTTATATATAAGTATTACACTAAAATGTGTTCGTTTACAATAAGTCCAATCAATGAATCTCTATTTTATAATTAGAGTTAAATATTATTTTTATATAGCACAAGCGTTAGTGCAGAGTATCAAAGAGTTGTGAGAGTATCAGAATGTTAGTCTAAAATATGCAATAATTTGTATAAAAGTAATTGTAGATGATAAATTCCTATTATTTTTTTTCCAAAAATTAATTTAATAATTGATACAAATATGAAACTTTATTATTTTTGTTAAAAAAAGAGAATAGTATACATTTGTGTGATATCTATTTATTTCAGGTTGAGATTAAAAGAGCCGAACCGCGGGACTCATCGAGCAAAATGAACGATAGTCATCAGGGTCAATGGGGCCCACCTCAGCAAGGTGGCCCGCCGATGGGAATGGCCGGAAATATGGGGCCTATGGGTGGACCAAATGGTCAGATGGGTGGACCCATGATGGGTGGACCCATGGGTCCGCCTGGTAATATGATGCAACAATATCAGGGTTGGGGTACCAGTCCTCAAACTGGTGGATATGCGGGATATAGCACCCAGTATAATGCTCAGGGTTGGGGCGCACCACCAGGACCGCCCCAGCAGCAGCAAATCCCGCCGCCGCCACCGCATCAGTGGGGTAGTAGCTATAATGTTCAACCTGCTGCAGCTACTCAAGGTTATGGAAGTTATGGTGAGTTCGGATATAATTCCGAAAAGTTACATTTTCTATCCACTGTTTATTAGCAAATATCAATCGAGGTCTTGATTCAATTGATTGCGACATAGTATGAGACAGTTTTAATGTAATTTAACAAATTTTGCTCAATATTAATAATTTATTTACTGAAGTATGCAAATGTGAAAAAAATTTGGCATTATACATAAAAAAAGTGTTCTTTCTCTCTTATCAATCTTTTATTAATTATCTTGTTAATGTAAAATATTAACTGATATATAGCTGATATTTAACTAATAAAATTGAAGAAATTTTTTAAGAAACATTTAGAATTGAGTAATAGAAATTGACAAATTAACGAATGGTACCATATTATTTGTACAGGGTACATAATGGTGAACGACGTTGATATAATTAATGTACTGGAGATATAAATTTTATAAAAATATTGTTAACATTTATACATGTACTTACATCGTCATGCATTAGGAAGTATTTAACCAGAATAATTTGTCTAAAATTGTTGAAGTCTTGCTAAAGTATCAACTTCGTTTATACTTTATTTTAGGTAGCGATCAAATTTTACTTAAATAAATATCAACTTTAATCCTGTTCCTATCCTCTTCCATCCTGCTTAGAGAGATTAAAGGAAGACACAGAAAAACATAACATAAGAAATAACATAAGAAATCTATAAATCACAATATAATACGATCTACTTTTACGATGCCCCCTGGAGGTTTTCAGAAAGATTTTAGAAAAAATATAAGAGGTTTTAATGAAAAGAAAGTTAAAACAGAAAGTAATTATGTCAGCCCAGACTTGTATATTTTGTTTATTATTATTATATAAAAAGCAGATTGTATAACTTCAATATAACGTAAAAAGAGAGAATGTTAGTTTTATAAATATTCTTAAAAATAACATATTTTTCTTAATTTTTAATTTTTTTAGGTTTAAAATGTAAATATAACAAAAATCTGTCATATATGTATAGGAATATGATATATATATATATGTATACAATATGATATATGTACATATATTTATACAGGATGTCCCAAAAGTTGTGATACTCAAAATACTACAAGAAAGTTTTCAAAAAAATTAAGTAAAAAGATTAAGTTTTTATTTTAAGCAATAGTTTATGAAATAATAAGGTTTTAAATATGATCGTGTGTTCGGTAGTATTAATAAGCTCACTTCAGCGTTTAAACGTAGTCTGTCTAAACGTTGTTTGTAATTGGCTATATTTATAAAGCCTTATTATTCCACTAATTATTACTTCAAATAAAAATTTACAAATAATTTTTTTACTTAGTTTTTTGAAATTTTCTTATAGTATTTTAATTCGCGAATTTTGGGACGCTCTGTACATTATATTATATATAT